AGTGACCAGCTGACATCCTAAATTGATCAGGATAGAACATCTTGGCGTAAAAGACTGATCATCAATTTCACCATAGAATGTTCGATGTGATGTCACACAATGACACACATGTAAGGGAATTTCAGTAAGTTTTGGTGGACAAAATTTACGACCAAAATCTGAATAACTGATCATCAGCTTATTTATATATGCTGTCAAATGTATAGTAAATTGGCAGAGAGTGATAGAAAATTAATTCCAGTTATACAGCTGTACTCACCCTCAATTCTTGTTTGGCATCCCTTTCAAGAACCAGGCCTGACTTGACGAAGGCGTCAGTTATTACCTCTGATGGAAGAGAAGTAAAGGAACAACATCCCACATCCCAGAAATATAGCTCAATTCTATGATAGTAATAGTGAATGCTGAGTTACTGACAATGGTAGGTAATGCGCAAACTGCTACTGAGGAAATTTAAAAGATCTGACAATACATACTACATGCATATTGCTTATTAGCTATATAACATTCCAAAGGATACTGCAAGCTCGAACAAGGCGCCCTTCTCCACCAATTTCAAGTACTGGAGCATATACAACACGGGCCCTAGCTGGTGAGCCTTTCATGCATGTCTGAAATTGTAGCATTAAGGTGATGTGAATCCCCAGAAAATGCAGAAGTATCCAAAAACAATTCATACTTGAATGTAATATTGTGTTTCAGACGTCGCTTTCCTATTCATGAAACCATATAGAGTGCTGTGGTGCAGTGCTCTAGAAAGTAGTATGAAATGCTTTGTTCTTTGGCTCGGACTTAACACGCTAACTAGTCATCTATAAATCAAATTCCGATCCAGATACAAAAGGCAAGTATTCGATGACAAAATATTTCTGGCTCTAAAGGAAACTTACCAGACCCTTAAGTCGTATAGAGATAGGTCGGTTTTCCAAAGCTTCATTTACCTGGGAAGATATTGACTGCATTGAAAAGGAAGTGAATTAAATTTCTTCATATTGCCATCCAATAAAATCGTATCATATCAGAAATGATAATACCTGGAGGACTTCAGAAGCCTGAGCAATACGATCCTTGTTCCACAACTTCAACATAAGAACCGTTAGGTGAAACGTTTTGGGTTTTATGAATATCGACTTGTCAATGCCGAACTCTGCAGATGATTAAAAAGAGCAGTTCAATGCCTGAATATACACATAACATTGTAATTTCGAAATACATAGAACAATACTAATAACATGTAGCGTCACCAGTGTAGCACTAGTACATAATAATAATAAGAGTACAAAATAGCACAGTTTCTAGATATTTCTACTAGTTGCACTTTTTTTTCAGAATTCCAGAACTTTTAACTTAAATTATATTATATTTCTAATATCTTCCCTTTTTTCAATTTGCCTAAGCTTCTGCAGCATCTCATTATAAAACAGTGAGCTGCTAGGTTTCCTGACATCAGCATCACACTTTGGAGCTAATAAGCTATCAGGATCAAAACAAAAAGTGTGGCATGGCAGTCAATATAAACAAAACAACCTCAGACACATAAATTCATAAAGTATACTTGATACCAACATTAAGCTAAAATGACATCACATATTGACATCTTGCTTTCGTCGTAAACACAATGGACCTCTATATTGATTGCTTAGTATGTTGTAATTAACTAGGGAAAAATGGCTATATTTGTTTCTTCTTTTGCTGTTCCACAATTTCATATCCCCAAACATGGAGTGTCACAGAATTTCATATTATATATAGGCCATTTAGGTCATTCTTCTTCAATCTGCAACGAGGTAACGTATGTTCTATTGACCATTCCTACTTATCAAGAACATAAGTTGATAGTATTGACTGTTATAGAACTCAAAGAAGGAACATGCTACACTTGAAAAACAAAATGAGCAAAGCTTTAGACCTGGTTGGGAGCCCTTATTATCCATTTTCACTATGACAGAAATTTCTTCTTTGACTGGCAGCTTGACTGAAACACTAGGGTTCGCTGCTTCATCAATTTCTTCCATAGAACCTTCGCTTAGGCTTTCATCCTTATCACTATCCACATTAGATGCAGACGCCCCGAGGATCGACCTCTGGAAGTTATTTAGCTTCTCGACAAGAGCCGGGTGGATGGCCAACGGAAGTGATATGAAATGCGAGTAATCTAGCATTGGACTTTGAACAGCCTGAATCATGTAAAACATACGGGCACAAATTCATTATAGGGCCGCACTCAGCTAGAGAGATTAAGAAGTCTGACACTAAAGTTAAAGCGAGGGTTTCATGGCCAACCCAGTGGTCTCGACGAAATAAATAAGGAACACGACAAATGTAAAAAACATGTCCTCGTGATGGACACTTCAATTACCCCAATGAGGTACTTTCACAAAATTTGGAAAGTAAATGAGCAGACAATCATACAAATATTCCTTCTGGTATTGATGTTGCGAACTCTATGTAAGGCAGATGATGACAGCAACAACAATAATAAATGGATGTGTGCATCGCTTGATGCAAAGGCCAGGGCTTATATCTCCTTTCCGAGAAAAAAAATACAGTAACAATGTCACTTTTATAAGATGTGTTTGGTGACTCACACTGGCACTTCTGCAACAGATATAGGAGCTATGTGATTCTAGCATTCTGCACATGCACTTTGATACATTACAGAGTCGCCAAGTTAGTTTTAACTCAATGAACTTATATCTGTTAAGTAAGCTGCCTTGTGATTTGCGTAAATAGATAATGCAAGGTATCGATAAGAATTTTAGTGTGATGAACCAGATGAAGATGGAAAGTGAAACCAAACTATAACCAGTTATGATACTTCAACAGTATGGCAGCAAAGATAAACACATACAGTGCCAGTGATTCAGTAAAGACCTAAGCATACAGTAATCATCTGTCAAAGTAGTGCGTTGGATATCTACCTCTTCAAGGATCTTTGAAATCCTCTCTGATGCTTTTCTAATACTTTCAGCACTTTTGCCTTCGAGGGCTGTATTTTAAAAAAATAACTTATTTAGCTCTGAAAATAACTAATAATAGCTACCTTATTGAACATAATTTCAGAAAGAAAGATGGGGATATTTTTACCAACAAGTGTTTCCTCCTTTGCAGATGGGAAAATGATTTTAACTCCAGTCTCCTGTTCAATCTGCTTCTGCACAGATCCACTAAACACCAAAGAATACAAATTACACTAACAGATGAAGGTCAAGCATTATCCGCAATAAATAATTGCAAGTATGAGATCAATACCCTTTTCCTTTGAGAAAACGCATTAGAGGAACATCTACCTGGAAAAGAACAATTGAATCTGTGAACAGTATTTGGAGACTGCTTACAAAGATGACACACATATCGAGCCTGAAGGGGTAAAAAAGAGCTTGGCTGAAAACAAAATGGTTGAAGCAATCTGTGTAGCATACCTCAACAGAAGAGGGATATTTTTCTCCCATTACCTCCATAGTGTTTTCATCCGATGCCAAATTCTCACTATCACTGATGGAAGTCCCCACCGTTTGCTTCCTTGCGGAATTGGATAGGTCATCAAGGTGAGCTGTATCATGTGGAAATATAAGATCATTCTAAAATGACACCACAACTCGGCACACACTAAATTAAAATGCGAAAGGGATTGAATTAAGAAAGAAAGAAAGAGACAAATCATAAGGGCAAAGGGTAAGTAACTAACTAGCGCAAACCGGGTTCTAAAATTAATTTCTAAGCTTTGAGCATCAACTCGGAATTTATTGATGGTCTTGCAGTCACCAAAGAAGTAATAACTACACAATGGCAGGGGTAAGCAGACAAATCCAAGAGAAGCTTGTACCAAGGGTTGAGCTCCTAGATTGACATCCATACCAAGTCAATCATCTGGCTAGCAATATGCAGCATCACAATAATCTTCAAGAATGCCAGTAAATTTCATCAGTGATTGGTGGGAAATAAGTAGCAAAAACCTTTTGGGGAAGATGCTTGTGTTGAGACTGGCCTCCATCTCTGCACAGGTGAATCTGTTTTCCTATGTTTCGGCGCATTGTTTGTAGCTCCCTGCCCCTGTTCCATGGCAGAGGAGGGCAAATTATTTGGACCAACTGATCCCTGCAAGTCAAAGCACTAACATATGAACATTGTACCGCTCCCTCAAAAAAAAAAAAACAGTGTACTGTACTGGCCTACTGGGTAACTAGGTATGTTAACACTGAATTCATGGACCGAAATTAAATTCATCCTGGCAGTCAATTTCTGGTCGAGAAATCTAATCTAAGAGACCCCAAAGGGAAGGGGAAAGGTTGTAACATTCCTGCCGATTGCATCTCGCGCAGCAGCTGAAACCTAGCTACTTTCCTCTCGATTAACAAGCCATAACACAAGGGAAAGAAAATCTCACAGAAGCTTAGCATCGAGAATCGTATTAGTACCTGAAGGCAGCAGCGGAGCGGGGAGCCAGCGGCGCGCAGGGGCCTTCGAGCAAGCTGGCTAAACCTAGCAAGCAGAAAAGGGGGCGGGGCGGGGCGTGGTATTAGGACGCCGGGGGATTACCGGTAGCGGTAGAGTAGAACGATTCGGCTACGGTAGCCATGTCGTTCTCGTGTTTATAGAGATTTTCTATTCTAATAGGAGACGGAGTAGGAAACAAATTGCAATGGGACTGGTACCTCGCGAGAGAGCCGTGCGCGAACATGACACGCGGAGGAGGGAGAGGAAGAGGATGACGCGCTGCGGCGGCGGCGGCGGCGGCGCCGGCGAGTGCCCGTGCCCTCGTTGCTGGGACTTGGGAGGGAAAAACAGAGGAGAGTGCCCTTCCCCGGCTATACTAGACAGGGTGAGGAGTCGGGGGATTCGTGGCCTTCACAGAACACTAGTCGCATCCAGACCAGACCAGAGCTCGTTCAGTTCAGCAACAGCAGAATACTGAATCACAAGTATATACATACATGCAGATGTGATCGATCACACGAAACCAGAATAGCACCGACTGAGTTCCATGGCATTCGACTGATTTAGTTTACAACAAGGTGGGTGATGTTCATGTTCATGTTGTCGCGGCGGTTGAGCATCTCGGTGATGCCCTGCACCCACCTGTGCTGCTCCTGCCTGCTCCGGCACTCGAACTCGATCACCCGCTCCTCCGTCCGCACCCCGAAGTAGCCCCTCCGCCGGCCCCCCTCCTCCACCTCCCTCCCCGCCCACGCCGCCACCTCCGCCCGGACGCCCACCACAACACCTGAAACAAAATCCAGGACGTACGTACAGAGTTATATTAGAGACTGTGATACATGTACTACTACTGAAGTGGATTCAGAAAGAGTGCTGCTTACACTTCTTGGTCTTGATGAACGTGCCCGCCATGTGCGCGCTCTTCATCTTGATGATCACCTGGAAGTTGGGGTCTATGTACGCCGTCACAAGCTTCCAGTGGAGTATCCCTGCAACACATACGTGCATGTCATGTCAGCTCTCTGGATTTTTGTCCAACGATCATGCACGGATTGAAGTAGTATGACGTACCCTGCCTCGTGCGCTTGAGCAGCTCGCCGCCTCTGGACACGAAGATGAGCGGCGAGATGTCCCGCTCCGGGGCCGCCCTGCCGGCGTCCCCGGGCAGGGCGGTGGCCTGGATCTCCTTGTGGAGCCTGGCCCGCAGCATGGCGGCCCCGCGCAGCGCCGTCGCCGCGCCGGCGGTCAGCGCCATGATGTCGCCGCTCGCCTGCGCGTTCACGGCCGACTGGATCGACCCCAGGATCTGGTCGTGGCTCGCGCCCATCGCCTGCGCCATCTCCACGCAGTGCGACGCCACCAGCGCCGCCGCCGACGCGATGGCCGCCGCCGTCTTCGCCCCGCCGTCGCCCCTCGTGGCGGGGGGAGGAGGAGGAGGGGCGGGTGAGGACGAGAACACCGCGCCGGCGACCAGCGCGGCCACCGCCGCCGCCACCCCGGCCACGGACGTCGCCGCGTAGGCCTGCGCGTTGCGGGACCGGGCCTCGGCGCGCTTCTTCTCCTTCTGCTCCTTGATCCACGCGCCCATCGTCGTCTTGCCGCCCCCTGCCCTCCCCGCGGCGGCGGTGGCTCGGAGGAGCTGCGCGTCCATGCTACCGGCCCTGGGAGAGAACGGCGGGCTCGTCACTCCTCCTCCCACACCGCCGTCGCCTGCCTGCGACACCGCCATTGCCGCGTCAACTGGCGGCGGCGGCGACCTCTGCTCTTTACCTGCGCCCGCGACGACGCCCACGTCGGGGATGTCGCAGACGCCCTTGCTGCTCAGGACCTTGAGCGCCTTGGATATCTCCGCGGCCGAAAGGCTCCAGGACCTTGCGAGGAACTCCATGGTCTCCGTCGGGGTCTCCGGCGCCCGCACCGTCGTCGGAGGCCACTTCTCCGCCGGGGCCGGGCCGCCTTCCTCCTCGATGCCCTCGAGCCTCTGGAGCTGACCATTGCTGCTCTTCTTCTGCTGCTGCTGATCAAGGCATTCCTCCATTGCCTGAGAGAGTCAGGAGGTAAATGTTACTCGTACTGAACAAAATTACACAAAGTCAACAACATGTTCGAACATTCCACAGATTAAAATTTTGAATCACATGAATTTTGGGCACGTACAAACGAGAGATCGGCGGCAGAGTAGAGCTGAGAGTGAGCTTGATGCTAGGACAAAGCTCAATTAGTACCAACTAGATACACAACTTGGAGTATTAACTGTCTGACATAAGCAACTGAGATACACAACTTAGAGCTGAGAGTGAGCTTGACCGGCAGAGTACTCACTATCTGACATAAGCAATTGAGAGTTCAGTCAAGCACACACGGATGACACTGTCAGGCTTGTCCCATATATGGAAGCCAGGAAAAGACAAAGCGTGATGAAGTGCTGTTACTTAACAGTGCTTAGAGGGGCTCATGCTGATAGTGGGTGCTAACTAAAGCCTCCATAAAAGTGCTCAAAATGTTGCTTTTGGCAGCACTGCGGCAGAGTAGAGTTTCTTTTGGCAATCTGCTCTCTTGTGGAGCCCCTGGTGTCTGTTGATATTTGGAATGAGAGCACAAGTGTTGTTTTGATCTCACATTTCACATTAACGTTTGAGCAGGATAGAGAACTAAGCTAGGTGTGTGAGTGGTCACTTAGTTGACAGAATATCCACACTGATATGCTGCATGTCATATTATAAGTTCTTTTTCTTGAGAAATATCGGAGTATGGCTTAGACACATACACAAAATACATTGAAGACTGATAATTTTTCATTAACTTAGAAATATGTTGCTAGTTTTAGAAAGTGGATACACCTTTTTTTTTTCCAACCGGGCTCACACCCCTTTCCATTAATTGCTTAACGGAAATACAGCAGTCTCAGTAGTTTTTACAGCCATCGCCCATTGGGCTACTAGAAAACGACTAAGCAAAAGGAGACCGAAAGGGGAGAGCGAGTTGGAGCATCAACAGGAAACCCGCAACAAATGACTCTAAAATGAGTCATCCACCACGGGGCAAAAACCTGTTGACACCAACCATCCCATCCTCAAAGCGAACAGCACGAAACGAACATCCCACGAAACCAGGAAGCCAAGTACGGGACACCACCACCAAAAGGAACCACCGAACATCTCAGCGGGCATCAAACCCCAGTGAGATCACAAACTTCTAAGTCTACTGGGCAGAACAACTTCAAGCACCATTTCCCAGCATGAGCCTCCCCCTGGTAGCAGAACGATCCGCCAACGAAGCAGCCACGCGCACCATCTTCTGCACTCCAGCCTGGACGTTTTCCTTGTCGATCCCTTTCAGCAGACCTGACCAATACATCAAAAAAGAGCATGCAGTGAAAACAGCCTCCAACGGGGAGCGAATGATACATTTGTCAAACGTTACCCTGTTACGAGTGCACCAAATGCCCCAACAGACAGCAGCAACAATAGTCATGTAATGCTTTTTACCACCAGGAAGATATTTATAGAGCCATGCCCAACTTTGCCAAATGGTTTTAGGAGTGCAGGATGCTCCCAGGGCTGACCCAATCGCCCCCCAAACAGACCGAGCAAACACACACCCAAAGAAAAGATGATCCGCAGATTCAATATCATGGCAAAATGAACATGTTGGGTTCCCGGGCCAGTTCCTTTTCCGCAAGTTGTCCCTAGTAGGGATGGCATTCTGAAACAGCTGCCAGAGGAAGATTTTAATTTTCAAAGGAATCCTAGCTTTCCAGATCAACTTGTAGTCAGGTCCTGACAAATCTTTTTCTAACCACTCATAAACAGATTTCGTGGTAAAAAACCCCTGACCCATGGACTTCACCTGACCCATGGACTTCTAGTAATTTGTGTAAAAGCCACATCTTATTTGCTTGAGAAACGAAAGAGGATTTGGGGGTTGTTGGTTATATAGCCATCTATTTGGTTCGTAGGCATGAAAATATAGGAGAGATACTCGGGTCTAACTCCCAACATTTTGATGAGAAACATGGCGGGAAGAGCGTTTCTGATCTTGATGATAAGTTATGTTATCATGATCTGCCACCTGAACCTCTCTCACCATACTAATCTAGGGACTGGGATTAACAGCAAACTCCATGCTACATGCCCAATCTACACAGAGGTGAGGTTTCGTCTGAAAATTTGCACTGATCATGCTATATTGCATACAAAAGAAACATGGTTAAACGAGAAGGGATTGAATCATCGACGTAGTGTGCCTCTTTAGAAAGGATCTATAATCGGGTGATGGTATCTATCCTTACGTGTGTATTATCCAAAAACCGTTGGCGGCAACAGAGAGAACAGAGTTCGGCTAGTCTCCATGATATCGAGGCAAGTAGATCTGTATATGGGATGATAGGAGTGCCTGCAACTTGAGGAACAGAAATGTTTGGGTTTGGCATTGCACGTTTCAACTTTCGACTAGAACCTATGCTAGTATTTGATTTACTACCAACTTTAACCTGAACAGCACTTGTAGCTTTTCAGCAAACATGCGAGAGTTGGAGCTTTACCTCCTGCCTGCATTGTCTGGGGATTGTTTCTTAATGCTCCAAGTCCCAGGAAATAATTGAAAGAAGGCTCATGATTGGGTGCTTAAGAAAAAGACCTTTGCTGGTCAGAGAAAATGATTCCACCTGCAGCCCGGGTTTTCCGCCGTCCGTGCGAAAGCATTCGGCCCCTCGAATGGAGAGAACCAACTGCGGAATCCTTTCTAGATAAAGCCCCTGTTATGCGTCCAAGTTGAAGATTCAAACCAGTGTTTATTGTGACTATGCTAACATATACAGTAATTAGAACAAGTAATGGTCAGATTTCAGTACTGAATAACATGGCTTAACTAGAAACAAGAACAACAACGGGCTTCCAGCACGCATGCGCGCCCACAACATCAAACAAGAACATATGCACTCATGCAGGAATCAACAAAATTACGCTAGTTTCGTAGCTTATCACGTTATGTCTGGTTTATGTGTACTCTAGCAAATAATGCTTGCATGAACCCCAAAGTATAATTAACCAGAAATAACTTTGAAAACACAACGAAAGGATGAAAAATTAGTATACTACAATAAGGCAGCAAATGTTTCACGAAGAGATGCCAACTACGGAAAAAGGATGGTGCAGAACGTCTTGTGACAAGCGATAGGGTTGCTCGGCTATGATGCGATCCACTACGGAATGCTGTGCTTTGCGTTCCATCATTGCCTAATCTGGCCGTGCAGGGACAGACTAATTGTTCTCGCCCAAGCTAAAGCCTCTTCAAAGCTCCAAGCAAACAACATCTTTTTTGTTTTTTGCAACATCTTTTATTTCATGGTGATCAACAAATTATGACGCCAAGTCCAGTCCATTCAGTGCTCTGTGACATGGAGTGACGTAAGACAAAAACCTGTCATGCAGACACTTTGCCATCGAGTTGGTACTGAAACAAAACAATGCAACACGAAATGTTACCACGTACCGAGTTAACATGAGCAAGATACATGCTGTTCTGGTATGATAACACGTGCGCACGCTAAGTGAGACCTCTACACTTGATTATGTGGCGGTGAATCGGTGATGCATACACCTGACAAAAAGTGTGTGTTCCTCTTCCTCTTCTTCTTTTCCGCAGAATAAAAATGGAAGATTCCATAAAGCAGATGTTGCATCATTGCCGTTCGTGTAACAAAGCATACAAGTGCTGGCAGTGGAGGCAGCACTTGGCTGGACAAAACGCTCAACTTTGGTGAACCACATAAGAGATTTTGGTTTAATTATTCTGCATTTCCCCCGCTTTATAAAGCTAGCCAAAAATTCTGCAGCATTGCCGACAAGTATTCTTTAACATATTTCACATAGGTAGGATATTAAAATGGAAATCCCAGGCAAAAACACTTTAAAAAAAATCTACATATTTATCGGAAACTATAGCAGACAGATCAAGGCCAAGTAAACTAAAGGATGATATGCTCATAAGAAGTTATTTAATTACAGAACTTGCCATATAAAATAAATGCTTATTTACGACAGAGAGGCGCCATTATTTTAACAAAAAAGGAAAATAGACCCACTAGAACTCTATAATGTAGCATCTCAAGTTTTTAATCGACAAACATTCAAAGATAGTTGAATTATATATCTACGAGCAACCCAACATGTGATTACTAAAGTAAATATGTGACGTAAAAACTTCAGTAATTAATAACCTACTGAAAACCCTCTGCCAATCTCCATGCAGAAACAATTAACTTGAGATTAGCCTACTGCACTAGTACTATGTTCTCAGGCATCTTCAATACCCAATGCTGAAAATATTTCAGATCATGATGCAAATTTCATGAATAACCTTATCACCACATGTATATTGGATAGCTATCAGATGCTGAATGAGCCGACAACATCACTATTGCTCAATGTCCATGCCATTTATCTAACCATATGAACTATTTACACCCGACATCATCACTATTGCATAATATCCATGCCATTTATCTGACATATGAACTATTTACATGTCCTCCGCGACTGTGAGAACAAAATGTCTGAAGCAACAGTCACAGAAAATGCTGGAGCATCCAACAACAGCAGTGATCAAACCTTGCATAATCAATCGGATCTGTAGCCATCCTTGTAACATGCATTAGGCATCAGGATGTTTGAATTGATTTTGTGATTCTTGAATCTGACCACTCTAAAAGAAATGGAGTCTAGTTGAGCATTTCCACATTTCTAGCTCCACAAGAGAGGCGACCTGTATAGCAACAGAAATTCATTAGAACTACCACGGTTAACTGAACAAGAGTATAGTCCCAAGAGTTGTACTCTCTGCTGGAAAAGGCAGTGCCTAGGAGGCGCTTAGGCACGCCTAGGCACTAGGCAATGGCCAAACGCTTCGCTTCAGGCATAAGCTGAAGTCTAGGCAGAGCAAGTAAGAAATTCTCTACCCAAGCAAGAAATCATGCCATATTGCACTGATATGCCAAAAGGGTCATATTCCAATCGTGGTAGCTCGTAGTTAACATACTTATATGCCCTAAATTAATAAAATACATATATAATAACCACATATACACCCTGATAGTAAAAGTTATATAACCGCCTAGGCTGCGCCTAGGGCGCTTAAGCACCGCCTAGGCACTAGGCGAAGGCTAACCGCCTCGCTTACGCCTACCGTTTTTTCCAACCTTGCTTGTACTACAAGGTTAGGGCTACTGTTGGAAGTTTACCTATCACCTTGCTGGGGCATTGTGCGGAAGTGTCGGAAAACAAGCGCTAGGAGAGCCAGTATTGCTGTCAAAACCCTGATTTTGATGAAAAGCGTCGATACACACTACATGTCTTGAATTCCCATCATTCTTCGGGTTTTCATTTCTGGCACTGGCAGCCATATTTTGCCTCTGATTAGATCAACCATGTCATAAGTAACTGCTTAAGCAATAAAATATATACACCACATGCTATGAAATATATGATGCTCGCATCATTTTGATGCGTTCTTAATTCAAAATAGCATGCATGTTAGCCTGTTCGAGAGTATATACACACCCTGATCCTTTCGTCAATAATGTCAAGGAATAACCTGTAACAGAAGCACAACTACTCACATATACCAGAACTAGTAAATTTTATGTGGTGCTGCTCATATGGTAAAATTAACTAAATGTACCATTATTTACTGGATTTACATTGGAAAGATGGGTTCTCATTATGAACTGTATGAAACAATTGCATTTGGCCACATTCCAGTAAACATGAAACCTTTAGCAAAGTAAATTTCTACTTAGAAATTCTCTGAGAACACCAGTAAGTTCTACACAAGCATGCAGCACACTTGAGCATCTGTAGACTGAAACCAAAAACAGTGGAGTACAATAATTAAAGTAATGTAGAAAATGTAGTGGTAAGAAACTGAATATACTCTGAGTCAATAAGTGGAGATTGTTATCTTCAATTAATAAAACTAGTCATAAACAAACTGATCAGTAACTGTCAGTAACTCAGTATGATGCATGGTAGGGTAAGGATCTCTCTGTTTCCAATTTCACCTGTAACTGTGCAGCTGACCCGGTCATATGGCTTGACTCCATCTGTTCATGGGCTTCATTTGGATGGACATCCCCATTTACACCTGTTAGTCATAAGTTCAGATAAGAGATCAATATTGTAGTCAATTTTATCAAAACATGTGTCATGTGGCAGAATCTCTAGTCTGATCTACTAACAGCAAAATGCAGCTATAAACTGAAGCAAGAACCGTACGTTAGTACTTAAGAAAAGTGACACGTTAAGCAACCATGCCATGTCCACTGCTTTCAAAGTCAAAATCCTTATATCTAATCACTGTGGCCCATTTACAATATAATAACATCAAGTGATAGCATGCTACAAAACCCTACACAAGATAGATGATTCTCATTGATTGGTGTTAAGAGTATTGCTCATGTTTATACCATTTATATTTATATATACAGTTTAGACCCATAGCAAGCCCATAAGGCCAGTGTACCCTAGGGTGTATCCCTCTATTTGCAATACAGGAAAGTCGATTTGGGCATTTCCTCTATTCAGAGGACGTAATACCAGCACTGCAGCCCCCAAATCCTTCCTTTCAAGCTCATGGCCATCCTGACTGTGTCTTTCTTTACCAATCTGCTGCTGCTGCTCCCTCATGAATCTGCTGCTGCTTCTGCCCCTCACCAATCTGCTGCTGCTGCTCCCTCATGAATCTGCTGCTGCTGCTGCCCCTCACCAATCTGTTGCCACTGTTGTTTGTCTAGCTCCCAGTGTTGCTATTTGGCGGAGCCGAGTTGCTAGTGGAGATAAATTGGGTTGATTGCTTGGCTGCTTGTGCTAGTTGTTGCCGACAGCTAGTTGTTTAACTGTGGAAAGAGTTTAGCTAGGTCCTTGGTGCATTTTGTTGCAGCTATCATAGCAAAAGAGATGCCTCCAACTACAGAGAACGTGCATTCTCGGTCAATGAGACTGGAAAGAGTTGTAAGGGTTGTCGATCTCAGTGACCACCATTTGACCAAGGAAGATGAAGCCACAAAAAGGCAAAATGATGATGCTAAGGTCATTGGTGCTTTGATTCTCAATGGTATCCTTCACTTAGGATGAGTCTTAACTCTTAAGTATCACTAGCAAAGGTGATATGGAAGCATTTTGAGAAGCAATAGATTCACCCAAATGGAGCCCTTCACTTTTCTTACTGCAAAGTTGCACAATCTTCGCAAAGAGGGCATGTCCATAGAGGATTACTGTGGAGCTTTCACTCGCATCTCTAGCCAGCTTATCTTGATGACTTCAATGAGTTGTACTGGATGTGATCTTGTATGGCCGAGAACAAGCATTAGCATCGAACATTTATGTTTCAGTCTGCGATGGACCTCAAGAAGGAGTTTGAGATTAGTTGCACCCAGTTGCTTGGTCGTCCCACTCTTCCCACCATGGATAAGGTACTTTCTAATCTCATTGACACGTCTCCGCTCTCTAGCCACACATACTGCTTCCGGTGACTTATATGTATACCTTAGGCCCCCAGTATAGCAAGCCCATGCATCCTAGGGTATATACCTCTCTTTGCAACAGGGAAGTTTTGGGCATTTCTTTTCTATTTAGCTAACAATGCTAGCCCTCAAGTTACACGATAATCTAAATGAATACTCTTATTTATATGTTTATGAAAAGGTGCAAAAGCTAAGTTACCCGCTCGTTTGTCAAGATGTGCTGGGATTGCTCGAGCAATAGTTGCCCCAGGAACATGCTACAAAAAGTAAGCGAGTTTGTCAGGTAGACACTAAAGTTGCACCATGCCGAAATATAGTAGATAAAAAATTACTCTGAACCACTGACCGTTCTGTAATAGGCTCCAATGAGATTAAATATTCATAAACTAAATCTATTTATGTAGGAAAATGAGATTCCATTTGAACATGATATGTATTATAATTTCATTTTGAAAAGCATTTGTCCCATAAACAGTATCATTGCTTAGGAATAATCATAGCATATGGCAAAGAGAACCAGAGGATGAGGAGGGGAGTTCTGGTGCAAGATCAAATCGCATCAAGGAATCCAAAACTAAAGAATGGTAGATTAAATGCAAACTGAAACTTACTGTAAAAGTACTTGCAATAAAACTTAAATATTTTAACCCCTGATGAAGTACCTGGGTCTTTTGGCCTTGTTTATATTTCAAAACAGTCCAGTCAAAGACATAATCAAAATCATAACCTGTTGCAAGATGAGCAGAACATTGGGTGAAATATGCAAGTAAAAACTCAGATAGGATCTGTTGAACCAATGTACTCCTCTGTTCCAAATTACATGACATTTTTATTTGCACAATATCTAATATGCAGTTTTGACCATTACCTTTTGTGAATACCTAAAAGATAAACAATTTTTCATGACAAAGCTAACAGTACCATTTGCACCTAATCAATCTATAGCTTTTTTATTAATTGGTTTTGAAATATAGAGAAGTTTGACTGCAAGCTTTCTAAAATGCCATCTATTTCCAAATTGAGGTAGGACCTTTTAACAGTGCTATTACAGAGGTATACACTATATACTCCCTCTGTTCCATAATATAGTGCATATAGATTTTTTTAAGTCAAACTTCATAAAATTTGACCAAGTTTATAAGGAAAAATATCTATATTTACAATATCATTTAAATATAATATGAAAATATGTCTCACGATGCATCTAATAGTATGTATTTGGTATTGCAGATGTAGATCCTTTTCTCTAAAAATTTAGTCAAAGTTTACAAAATTTGACTTTGAAAAAAATCTATACACTATATTACGGCGGAGGAAGTACTGTGTAGTACTACTAAATGAAGGAATACCTTGGCGGTCGAATAAGTCTCGAAAAAGGCGCTTCACGAATCCATAATCAGGCCGCTGATCAAATGTCAACGACTTGCAGTAGTGGAAGTAAGATGCAAATTCTACCGGACAGGATTTGCATAACACCTGATAAATAAATAAAATTCAGCTACAGATGTAAAAGTACAATTTCTGAAGCTTGGTTTAATATGCTTCTGAGATAAACCTCGATAGGTGTCGAAATCTTTTTCTCACATATCTTCTCATACTTCTGCTTTTTCGTTGCAGCTTTTAGTCCCTGCCAGGGGAGACTGTACACACCAATACATGGCAAAAAAATTAGAGAAATTACCAAAATGGATAATAAGACCTCAATGTTCTGATAGCTTTGATATTATACTTAAACAAAATTGAGATTGGTATCAAACCCTGTTACATTTCCCACAAAAAAAGGTACTTGGAAACATGTCACGGAAAAGGCACACAGATTCACAACAATTTGCTGGTGTAACTTGAGATATAACGGATTTTCGTTAACCAGCTGCACAAATGTCATGCGTGCATTGATATGGCATAATAGTGAAGTCTGCTTTGAAATGAGGGGTTTCATATTTACAGTTTGTTCTAGGGAAATCTTTGTAAGATGCAGCCCAAACATGCTAACAAAACAAGCAGAGATATAAGATCCCATGCTACAAGGCCTATTTTGAGCTGAGCAACATCAGTTCATACCTACAGACTACAGCTAGACTGCTAGAGTATCTAAAAGTGTGAAGAAAGTCGTAGTTTTTCAAAAGTAGGTTCTTGAAACTGCTTGTTTTAGATATGATGTCTATTTACATATCTTATAAAAAGTTGACTTGCACTCCTTAATGTGTTTTCAAGCACACTGCATCCCAGATGCTGTGCTCATAAGCAACATAGTAGTTCCACAGAACAGCAGTATAAGCCTACCTTCCTCGGAGAAAATATAGGAGAACATAGCCAAGAGATTCCAAATCATCCCGTCGACTTTGCTCTGCCAGTAAATAAAAAAATGTTTAAAATCAAATCTAAATGATGATTTGACAAGTAACCAACTGATCATGACTTACCAATTCCAAGGTGAGTGTTGCTACTTGCATAACGTGCAGTGCCAGTTAAGTTCTTATGTTCCCTACAGTAAAGCAGCAGTTCGATATTAAATGGCTGATCAAAGATCATGAACAAGTTGCATTTATATATATGCCGATTGCAAGGTACACAGGCATTCTTTATAAGTACAAGAGAACAAAGTTGAAAACCCGTATAATTGGGCAATAAAATTAACAAAAAAGGGAAAATCTGGCATTATATAATTTATATTGTTGTTTTCATATAGAGGCCATCACACTATGATGCAGAGTGGTCTGTAAACAATCAAGATATTATGATAGCAAAAGGCTATTGTTGATGGAACCTAGAAGACTAACTTAGTAAAATATTGTGATGGGAACATTCCCACATAGTAAAGAGCAAAGTAGCAGTGGTCAAGTACCACATGGGAGACACCAATTGAAATTACAGACATAGGTCATAAGGTGGAGGCCATGATGTGTCACAGGTCCAATTCAGCGCACTACCGCTGTAACTATAATTTCCATATGGCACAAAAAAGGTAAAGTGGGGGCAACGGAAATGACAACAGATAACAAGTATTGGGTCAGCTAACTGCTTAAATCAATTCTGAGCAAGCATAATTACATTTAGTTTGACACTAGTAAAAAAGTCAACCTATGGTACCATCTTCTACCAAAAAACGCATCTTCAGAAATATATGTACCTGTAAGGAATATGTCGATTCGTAGTAGAATCCCGGTATCTTTTTGCAAGCCCAAAATCAATTACATAGACCTGATAAGCACACGCAGAAATATCATTGATGAGATTGTTCAGCGCATTAACAACTTAACATGGAGCTTTAGTGCACCACAACAAGTACCTGATTTGCCTTCCGGCCGAGACCCATTAGAAAATTGTCAGGTTTTATGTCTCTATGCAAGTATCCTTTGGAATGCATAAATTCTATCCTTGTAAGCTGTTAGGATTATATAGAAAAGAGAAAAGCTGGCATTACTTAATCAGAGATGGAACTCAATGCATGCATGCAAAAATTATATCAATATTTAATGGGGGCAACGAAAACTTCAGCCAACTGTATTCCACATGCGGCTACTTAACTACATCTAGATTAACTGCACATTATTTCGAACTATGCAAATAAATATGAAGCATATAGAAGCAACATATACAAGAAAATATCTGCTAGTGCATAGTGGAACCCTCTATAGAAGTCCTGGCAGTAATTATTTCAATTGCTGCCTATTCTCTATTATTAAGTAGTGGTAATGTGGTATTGAAAAGAGCAACACAATAATGGAACTCTCCAAGGAAATCCTCAAGAATAGACATTCAGTGTTTGGTTACCATCAGATATATTTCTTTTTTCCTGTGAGTTCCACAAGAATTCAAATTGCTGAACAAACGTTGACACTTTCCAAATGGCTTTCAGTGTTCGGCATAAGGTAATGAAATAAAGTGAAATAAACGGTTACTAATTACCATTTGGTCTGCAAGCATTAGGACAGTCTTCAAGGTGAATTTTCTGCCGCAGTAGACAAACAAATTCTCTAAGCTCGGCCCCAACAGATCAATGATAAGAACATTTTCCTCCCCATCTACACCACACCATTTAACATTCGCAATGCCACCTGGAAGCCAAAACATTCCCTGTCAACTCCGGATCTTATCCAAATAAACCCACCAACCATGGAACTAAGGAGAATTGGATGACAGGGCATACATACTTCCTCCTTGCAGGGCGTTGTAGATCTTTGCCTCATAAAACAGCTGGGGGTGCTTTGAGCTGCTACTTTCCTGCCAGTGAGGTTACCAAAATAAGGATTCGGAGATGGTGTGTGCAAGAAAAAGGGGTTTCACTAGGCAAGTAGGCAGTGCATATAACAATAACACTCAAACTTTCCTTTCCCACTGGTATGCTTGCTCTCACAAGGCAAGCCATGAAGTGGGATGGGGGGAAAGCAGGGGCACCAACTGAGCTTTGACAATAACAATCAAACTTTCCGCTCCCACTCGTATGCTTGGTCTCACAACTTTTTCCTGCAAGGCTACAAATACAATTCCTCTACGCCAAGCGTCATTATGACCAACCACCACCTGTATCGATCATCACCCAAGATGCTAAGAGGGAGCATTCTAGAAAGGAAAGGGGAAAGCAGGCCAAGTAGCCATACAATTAAATAAAAGGCGTGTGCTTCGACCTTTCTGACTACATGATTACCAGCATTTTCTAATCCCATTATGATCAGCCCAAAACAAGCAAGAGCGACGACTAACAGACAAATTCGGGACAGCAATCGAATAATGCATCCGCGCGAGTGGAAGCAAGCAAACCAATCCAGCATTCCACCTATATATCCGCTTAACTCAACAGCAATCCAATCAGGCAATCACCCACCTCTCCACTTGAGCCAACTACTCAACAGCAACCCAATCGAAAATTGAAGTATGAAACAGGGCAGAACAGGGCAGGGCTGAGAGGAAACAGGGGATACAGGACTCACAATCTTCACCGCGACGATCTCGTAGGTGTCCATATCCGTGGCTGCAGCAGCAGCAACAGCGACAGCATCAGACGGCTATGGATAGAGTCGAAGAGGAAAAAAAACTGAACAAACGCGGGCGGCGGCGGCGGGGAATCGAACGATCGCTCACCGAGGTAGATGACCCCGAAGGAGCCGGAGCCGATCTTCCGGCCGAGCTTGAACTTGCGGCCGACGATGCGGTCCATGCCGCCAGTCCTGAACACTTCTTCCCCCGCCCGATTCCAGAGGAGGGGACGGCGGGCGGCGTCGTGTGGTGGGGGCTTCGGGTTTGCCTGGCGTGGAGCGGGGGCAGAAGAGAAACGCGCGGTGAGACGTGCGAACTGAGAAGAGAAGAGACGGTGGTGGGGTTCACTGGCGCTGCGTCGGTCGCTTGCTTTATTTCGGCCGCGGGGTCGAGTCGGGTCGGCCGAGAGAGTCTTCTCTCTCGGAAAGGGGAGACGGGCCGGCGTAGGGCCGCGGCGGAACGGGGCGGTCGTAATAGCCGTGTGGGTTAGGTGACGTGACGGCGGCTTAATCTTATCCCCTGTGGGGTGGCGCTTCTCACGCGGGATGTGCCACGTTTTCGACAATCGGTCTCTGGCTCGCGGCGTCGGTGTTGCGCGTGCTTGCGTTCCACGTCATAATTTTCCATACACATTACTTTGAGTAGTCATAGATTTTGTTTCCATCTTATAATTTGTCTTTACAATAGCGCCTCTGTTCTGTATAAATCTATCTATAGTTAACAAACTACATCAAGAATCCTGAAAAAGGAATAGGTATGTGATACACGGTAAGTAAACTGACACCCGAAAATTCTATAAAAATTATATCTATAAGTTTTGGAATATTTAATAATTTTTATAAGTTTTGGGATATTTAATATTTTTTTAGAAAAAGAAGCATCCAGACGGTGCCCGGGGGGGCCACACGGGCTAGGGTGCGACCTACCCCCTAGTCGCGCCACCTGTCCGTGTGGGGGGCACGTGCACCTTCCTGACTCCGTCTTTCGCACGTAAGCTTGTCCTGCACGGTAAAAATTCCTATAAATTCCTGAAATATTCTGATCTACGTAAAGATTTCCTCTTGTTTTCATTTCGAGCTATTTTCTATCAGTGTTTTGAGGACAAGTTCGCCATGTTTTCTTCCTCCTACACCGTTGATGATGATGCTTAGCGGTTGAAGGAGGAGATTGAGAGAGAGCTTATGGAGCATGTTGTGATGGAGGAGGAATCAGTGAACTCCATAGAAGCTCAGGCACCAGAATCTTTACGGGAAATCCTAGCTAGCATCTCGACTACCCCAGTTTCATCCAGGACCCCGAAGACAACAAGAATTCACTTGGGCTTCAAGGTATTAGAGGGATCCATTTCAAAGAAGCCCTCGACCAGGTTACATAGGAATCCTTTTCATAATTTGGTTAACAATTATGGAGTTGAGAATAATTCCCAATTGTGTATACCCTCCAACTGAGACATCTCCCATCCAAGCGAAAGTGATGCATGAAGGAAAAGCTATGGGGACCAGAAAACAAGGATATCATGTGTGAGGTGAAGAATAATGCTACACAATGACTGCTTCATAAGATCCAATACCTGAAGGAGATCCTTTTGGATTTCCTCAAATAGAATAAGTGAGCTCCTTCACCACCAGCATTAGCAAAGAAGGAGACTTGAGTACTTGGGTATGGGCACCCCCCTTGGCTTGCTCCAAACTTGGCAGAGGTGCTCCGGTATCGTATCATCACCTCTATCATCATTATTATCTATTAGTTCGATCATTAGTTAAATCGTGGTTTAGAAAAAAGTTATAATATGAAATAGTTCATAATATGTGTTATGGTTCCTTCGTGTTTTCGTCGTGTCCGTTGGTGAGAGTATCTATAATAAAGAATAGTATGAGATTTTTTTTGTTTTTTCATTATTGTGTATCTTAGCATTGCAAATCATTTCATATGTGTATCTCATGGGAAGTAGTGGCTTCACATTGGGTGTGGGAAGTAAAATCTATTGGAATTTAACAAGCACAATATTTCTCATTTGAACAATTCATGGAAGATTAGTACAAGGAAGAGAGACTTCACATGAAAAGATACTATCTTGGACATCTTTTATGATTGTGAACCCTCATTGAATATTTTCACACTTGATCAAATAGTTGATATTGGACAAGGAAGACAAGGTAATGAGTTATGTTCATGTATATTTGCATAAAAGTTATATTGTCATGGATCCTCTAACATTTGGTGTTTGTTTATAATCTTTTTTAGCCAAATACTTTCGCACTAAGTAGAGATACTACTTTTTCATCCAAAAACCATAAACCCACTTTCTTCCCTAAGAGTCCACTATAACTTCCTATGGATCGAATAAGATCCTTCATGTAAGTTGTCACTGGTGCATGCATTAAAAATTGCCCCAAATATGTATATCTTTTATTGGATGGTAAGTAAGGTTCGTACGAACTTGTGGTAGTGGAGTAATAAAAACGACAGACTGCTCAATAAGTGCCACTATCGCAATGGGCAATATTAAAGTGATGTCCCTTTTCATTAAAAACTCTAAAAACTTAGACATCTAACTTGAAAGCGCAAGAAAATCTCTCCCTCCCTCTGTGAAGGGCCTATCTTTTACTTTTTCTGTTAACTTTGTTTTTATGTCCAGTCTATTTCTTCTTATTCCAACCTCAAATATGTTGTGAAACGTAGTAGAAAAAATCACCCAACAAGATTCATATAGGGTTTGGGTCAACGATCGTTACCGACTCCGGAGTGCAGCGGAAGTAGATGAGTCGGTATAAATTGTACTTGGAGTCCCTCGAACCGTTGATGACGATCCCGCAAATCGCCCTCGAATGATCCCTAGAATGGGAGACCGAAAGCACGGCCTCTCTACTTGGTTGCAAGCGTACAGTCTTCACGATCGGGCAGCGCTTCGCCGTCCAGAGCCGGAGAATTAAAGGGAGGAGATTAGAACCACACCGGGCTTCTAATTATGAGGATTAGAGGAACTAGGTCTAGCTCTAAATAGTCAACTAGGACCAAGTACAACTAGAACTAGATGAACTAGAGGAGGCTCCAAAACTTGTGTACTCAAAAGTGGCAAAACCCTCTAGTATATATGGGTTGGAGGGGAGAGGGAGGGGCACCACAAGGAGGGAAAGGATTCCCCTCCTTGGTCGTCCAATGGGAGGGGAGTCTCCCTCCGATTCGGCCTCCCCTCCCTTCCCAAGTGGGAAAAAGGGGCGTCACCTCCACTTGGGCCCAAGTAGCTTTCCACCATTTGGACTTTTAAGACCCACTGATATTAAATTAAATATAAAAGCCTCCTAAATATTACTAGAGCCTTTTATTATTAATTTAACATCTCTAGAAACATATTCCCCCTATATATTATGTATCGCTAATACCTGATACGTCTTCAACGTATCTATAGTTTTTGATTGTTCTATGTTGTTGTATTATCATTTTTGGATGTTTCACAATAATTTTATAGCAACTTTATATAATTTTTTGGGACTAACCTATTGACATAGTGCCCATTGCTAGTTGTTGTTTTTTGCTTATTTTTTATTTTGCATAATATCAATACCAAACGGAGTCCAAACGCAACAGAACTTTTTTGAGATTTTTTTGGATCAGAAGACACCTTGGGGGCCAAGAAAGCACCAAGAAGATCCCCGTGGGGACCACAAGACACTGATACGTCTCCAACGTATTTATAATTTTTTATTGTTCCATGCTATTATATTATCTGTTTTGGATGTTTAATGGGCTTTAATATGCACTTTTATATTATTTTTGTGACTAACCTATTAACCGGAGGCCCAGTGCCAGTTGTTGTTTTTTGCCTATTTTAGTGTTTCGCAGAAAAGGAATATCAAACGGAATCCAAACGGAACGAAACCTTCGCCAGGATTTTTTTGGAACAAATGCAATCCAGGAGACTTGAAGTGAAGGTCAAGGAACCAACGAGGCGGCCACGCGGTAGGGCGGCGCGCCCAGGGGGGCAGGCGCACCCCCCACCCTCGTGGGCCCCTCGTAGCTCCACCGACCTACTTTATTTGCCTATATATACTCTTATACCCTGAAAACATCCAGGGGAGCCACGAAACCACTTTTCCACCGCGATAACCTTCTGTACCCGTGAGATCCCATCTGGGGACCTTTTCCGGCGATCTGCCGGAGGGGGATTCGATCACGGAGGGCTTCTACATCAACACCATAGCCTCTCCGATGATGTCTGAGTAGTTTACCACAAACCTTCGGGTCCATAGTTATTAGCTAGATGGCTTCTTCTCTCTCTTTGGTTCTCAATACAAAGTTCTCCTCGATGTTCTTGGAGATCTATTTGATGTAATTCTTTTTGCGGTGTGTTTGTCGAGATCCGATGAATTATGAGTTTATGATTAAGATTATCTATGAACAATATTTGATTCTTCCCTGAATCCTTATATGCATGATTTGATATCTCTGCAAGTCTCTTCGAATTATCAGTTTGGTTTGGCCTACTAGATTGATCTTTCTTGCAATGGGAGAAGTGCTTAGCTTTGGGTTCAATCTTGCGGTGCTCGATCCCATTGACAGAAAGGGAACCGAGGCACATATTTTATTGTTGCCATCGAGGATAAAAAGATGGGATTTATATCATATTGCTTGAGTTTATCCCTCTACATCATGTCATCTTGCCTAATGCGTTACTCTGTTCTTATGAACTTAATACTCTAGATGCATGCTGGATAGCGGTCGATGTGTGGAGTAATAGTAGTAGATGCAGAATCGTTTCGGTCTACTTGACACGGACGTGATGCCTATATTCATGATCATGCCTAGATATCATCATAACTATGCGCTTTTCTATCAATTGCTCGGCAGTAATTTGTTCATCCATCGTAATATATACTATCTTGAGAGAAGACACTAGTGAAACATATGGCCCCGGGTCTACTTTACATTATATAAGTTTCCGATCTACATTTTTAGTTTACTATTTATTTTGCAATCTTTATTTTCCAATCTACACAACAAAAATACCAAAAATAGTTATCTTATTATCTTTATCAGATCTCACTTTTGCAAGTGGTCGTGAAGGGACTGACAACCCCTTTATCACGTTGGTTGCAAGGTTCTTATTTATTTGTGTAGGTACTAGGCGAATTGCGTGTAGTCTCCTACTGGATTGATACCATGGTTCTCAAAAACTGAGGG